TTGATTACTTGAATGATCATTTTTTTTTTGTATAATTATAAATATATGTATTTAATTATATAAAAGTATAATTAATTAATAAATGTTATGGAAGGATATATATATAGATATATATATTTATGGATATATATAAGATATATGATTTAATTAACCATTGTTAATTATGGAAGATATATATATATATATAATATAAGATATGTATATATATATTATATTATTTAAAGATAATAATTATTATTATTATTTGGTAATCCTAGTAGGAATAGGATTAGGGTAATTAATGTGTATAAATATACACATAAGGTTTAGGGTTAAAAAGTTTACACGTTAGAAAAATAAGAGAGACAAAGAGAGAAGAAGAAGAGAAGGTTGACAAAAAGGAGTCCAGATCGGAGAAAGAGGACGCAGAAATTGGAAGAGACAGTCAAAACTTGAAGCGTCGGTTTCGTTTCAAAACCTTCAGGCAAGTTCTTTTCTAACTCTCCTCGTAGGACCCATAAATTTATCACCTTGAGTATCAATGTTTAAAGTAAATTTATTTGTTTCAAATCATGGTTAGATCGGAATAAACTAAAAGCATAAATTATTAAATTTTTATTTTTGCATTATTAGATTTTAATTGATATATATAGGTGTTGTATATATATTTTAAAATCAATATATAGGTTGATCTATGACCTAAGACAGGTAATTAGGGTTTTTAGAATTTCTAGAATTTTTCTGGAATTTTTTGAAATTTTTCTAGAATTTTATGGATTGTGTTTACATTTTTCGAATAATTGTTTTAATTATTTTATAATTAATCTGGGTATAATTATATATATAAACTGTTATATATATAGACACTAGTGGCTACTGTGCATCGGTGCATCAACATAGGGGTTTAATTTGGTGCGGCGCGACGCATTGTATTACTGTGCGTGCAGATCATGAAGGGCTGAGATGAGGTGATGAAGTGACGGATGATCTAATGTGGTGCGACGCATGATAATATGGTGCACCCGCTGATCTGGGCTGCTGGGTGGAATGGATGAGTGTAAGATGATCCAGTGCTTCGCAGAGCATGGAGATTTGATGCGCTCATGCATCAAGGCCGTGGATGAGGCCTGGCCAACAAAAGATTGATCTGGTGTGGGCGAGTACACCAGAGCATAGAAGGCAACCAATCAGAAGCAGCCACACACGCACCGAGAGTGGATCAGGCGCGTGAGGGCGCGTGACAGCTCCTAAACGCGCCTGGCAATCAATAGAAATGCGTTGAGGCGCGTGCAGCAACTGGAGGAGTGTGTGGCGGCGTGTGGAGGCATGTGCAAAGGTGTTTAAGGTCCCGGAAAGTTTCTGTGGGGTCCGGTGACATTCCAGAATTTATTTCAAGCTTGTTAGGGTTGAAACCAACCTTTAGAGGAGGTGTTCTTAGTGTTCTAAGAGCCATAGAGTGTTACTAAGATATTTAGTAACCTTTAATTTGCGTAAATATAATAAATTAATGATTTATTACGGTATGGAGTGTATATATATATATATTTAATTATATATGTGTTTATATAGTTTATTTAATTTGTGATTAACATAGAAGGGAGTATATATGTGTTTATATGGTTTATTTAATTTGTGATTAGTATAGAAGGGAGTGTATATATATATATATATATATATATATATATATATAATGGTAGGTATTATACACATATATATTACATAATATGTGTGTAGATGTATATATTATTTAAGATAATTAATATCAATTATTCTTATTTAATCGGTATATCTGGATAGGCTGGTTTTTAAATTAATGTTATGCGTATGATATGCACGGGATGGCTATGTGTGATTTAGTTCATCGTTAAGTTTAAAATCGGTACATGGTTGAAGTGTAGGAATGGCTGAGTTGTCAAAGACCTAAATATAATGCCTAAGTATTTGTATAAATAAAATACATACCTAGCAAGTAATGGATGAGTTGCTAATTTAAAGGTAAAAATATATAAATAAATATATCTTTAATGGCATGGTTGATTTGCCAATGTATAAGTAAATATACTTAAGGAGGCATGGTTGAGTTGCCAATATATAAATAAATATATCTTTAATGGCATGGTTGATTTGCCAATGTATAAATATACATAAGGAGGCATGGTCGAATTATTATGTATATTAGATGATTAAAATTCATCTATGGATACTGTATGTATAAGTTGGATTAGGATTAGATATTTTTAAATTAGAATAATCTAATAGTTACATGTTAGGGTACTATTTTATATATATTAATACAATATTATTGGTAGAGACATAGAGGATTTGTCAAAGCCTAGGTATTGACTGTATGGTTTAAATAATTAAATTCATTATTGGCTTTTGGATAAAATATAATTTTCCTTGAATTATATTTTATTAGTTAAATGATTAAATAATTATTTAAAATGGAGTTAAGGTTAGAGGGGTTTCTCTTTAAAAGAGAAGAAGTTTTGAATTGGTTTAGGTATGATTATATGTTAATCATGGTTTAATGGTTTTGAAAATTAATGAAACTATTAATGGATAGGAAGGTTATACTATATATAATTATTTATACATGTGTGTACCATTGTTTATCAAACTTAAAATTTTAATAGGTTTGGTTTTGATCAGAGATAATCTATTTATTAGTTTTTAGAGGTTTGGTAGAGAGAACTTGCTCGTAGGGTTTAACCCACGATTTATTTTTTAGGTTATTAGAGGTTCCAGTCTTGAGGTTGAGAATCCGCAGCTGGGAAACTGTCATTTATCTATTCATCTTATATACTGTTAAGTAGTATTAGATTATTGGATAATGTTTTAAGGGGTCCTTGTGTTACAGGATTCCCGAGTTGTAATTGTTGTAGAATTATTAATTAATATTTATTTATTAGTTTTTTTCAGCGAATTATTTATTCTTTTTATTTCTTCTTGTATTCTGTATTTGTTTAAATACTTTAATTGTTTTGATATTCTCTAATTTTGTGCTCGGATTTGATCAACCCGTGTTCCGAAATTAGGGGGTATGACAACCACCACCACCGCCTTCCACCACCACCGCTGCCAATGCCATCACCTTCCACCACCACTACCTTCCACCACCGCTGCCGCCAATGCCACCACCTCCCACCATCACTACCTTTCACCACCACCACCGCCACAACCTTCCACCACTACCACCACCTTCCACTACCGCCACCTCCACTGCCTTCCACCACCACCACAGTCACTTCCATTGGCTTCCACCTTTTCCACCTACAACATTGGCACCTACACCACTATTTCCTTCCACCACCACACTACTGCCACCTCCTTCTACCAACACCATTGTCGCCTTTCACCACCATCGCTGCCTTCCAACACCACCACCTACACCACTATTGCTTTTCACCTCCACCACCATCCACTACCGCCACTGCCACCATATATTTTTAAAAAATTATAGAAGAATGTCATTTTGTTAAAATAATGTATTTGTTACTAAAATGGATATTTTGGATAACTCAATTTGAAATTTATTCCATTCTAAATTTTAAATTGGTCAAACCAAACAATAATCATTCCATTCCTACGTATTTCATATTTACAATCAAACAATAGAATGAGAATGGTCATTTCATTACATTCTATTCCTACTTGCATTCCATTTCATTCCATTCATGCATACCAAACACAACATATTAGTTTTCATTTTATTTCCTACGTGGGACAAACAATTCCCATAATTCTTATTATTATTTTTTGGTTGGTAATGAAGTGCAAATGGAAGAGGACTTTCTTTAATTACTTAAAGATCTTAAGAAGACTAAATTGAGTTTTTATTAATTGGGGCAGATGATGATGTGATCAGTTTATGTGAATGTACGTTTACGGGTCTAGAGTCATTTATATAAATCGTCAATCTTGTCTTTATTTCATATTTAAGATATTATTGTCAATTTGATTTTATTTTATAATTCATATACCTTTTAAGTGAGTCATGTGATTATTTAATGGTTGTTTTGTTATTTTTTCAGCTTTTTATTCTGTTTGACAGAATAATAACCTTTAGATTACATTTATATGAAGGGTTGGGATTAAATCTTTGTTAGGGCATTCCTTATGTCTTACAAAAGGGTTGTTCCAAGTTGTATTCAACAGCTTTTTAGTATTATCAATATATTCAGTTTGCCGAATCAATTTTCTACCTCTTCCTTTCTTTTGGGATTGAGTTGTGGGCGTTTAAGCTATTCTCTAGCTTAAACTAGCTCTCTATTCTTACATTCTTACATAATTTTATTTTCTCTTTCATAGTTAATTGCATCGGTTGGCAAGAAATAAAATCATTTTTTGCCCACCCCTGGGCTCAAACCCCTCCCTTTCTCTTTAAGGATGGGGAAGTTATACCGCTGGGCTAGATCCCCTTTGGTACAAACAATTCTCACATACAAACCCATTTTCATATTATTTATAAGCTTATAAACACCTCACTTTTGAACTAATTTTTCATTCACTCGGAAATGATTTTGAGAAAATAAATATTCCACGTTCATCTAACCGTGGAGAGGAACGCGTTCGATTATAGATCTAAAAAAATTGCCTAACAGGACCCATTTAAATTTCAGCCCAAATTTAGCTCTTTATAACTGTTATAGATAGATGTTTGCGGAATGGGATAATTTACAACAAAATTCAATAGTTCAGGAGAATTACCTGCATATTTTGTAGTTCAGGAGGGTTTATTGTAGGGTTACCAATGGTTAGGGGGTTTATTGTATTTTACCATTTATTTTATAACAAATCGATTTAATTCTAAATTGACTCTGCAAACCATATGAATCCACGAGGCCTACATGATTTTAATAAACACCCATGGTTCACGTTGGGCGTGCGTTATATCATATTTTGTCAAGAGGGAGAAGGAATCAGGTTGGGTCCACCCACAAGCCTCTAAGCTATGCGTCCAAATTTATGCAACATTGTCTGTGTCACTGTGTGTATTATATATATATATTCTGTAAGCCCAATGTGTTAACCTAATTTAATAAGTAATCCATCAATTCATCCCCTCTAGACTATTCTTTCTCTCTCAAGTTATTTCTCTCGCGCGTGTTCTTTGTTGGCGTCTCTTAGCAAAAACAAAAGCAGCCTTTCGGAAATCTCGAGAGACCAACAGCAAGCACGTCGATGTTTCCTAAGCCCTCTTAAAGGCCATTCCAAACAAACTCTGTACTACTTCTCCGTTCAATTCATTTCACTCCACCTTCATCCCCAAAACTTCCCCTATTCCTTCAATTTTGTTGATTCTTATATTGTTCATTTTTTTTTCGGAAATTTATATTGTTCATTGATATACATAAAGTTTATATATAATTTAGAGAGGGAAAGAAGAGAGAGAAGTATGTCGACCCTTTCTTCATCTGCACATTGTGGTTCATATTCACCGTCTTACTCGGCTTCTTCCTCATACAAATCCAGCAATCTTCAACGGGCAACTCTACCCTCCATTCATAGATCATTTGTCTCCAAAAGGGTCTTTTCAAAATCTAATCGGAACCCTTATTTGAATGTGATTCGCATGCAAGATGGTTAGCCTCAATTCGTTTAAATTTAAATGTATCTGCAGCTGTATTGGGTTGATTTTGTTTTTCAGTTTCTGATTGTTTTGCTAATTCATGGTTGTTTATAAGTTGATGGGTTGATTTCTAGTTATGAGTATGGTTTACTATTCTCATGTTTGTTTTGTTAATTATAATCTCTTTATTTCAATTATTGGGTTTTTATTACCTTTTGTTAGTTATATATGATGTGCTGGTGGTTTGAGTCTCATAATTTTTGTTGTGTGAGTGGATGGGTTTCTCTCTTTCAAGGGAATTACATGCCTCTTTTTTCTTATTCATTTTTTTACTGTTTTGTTTGGTTTTTCAGAATCTACAGCAATAGAAGTTTCCAAGTTATTCTTTGATTAGTTGCTATTTAATACAAAAAAATATCTAACTTTTCTGCCCGCCAAACCAGCATGACTATTGGATTTTGTTAGGATATCAGTTTTCAAAAACTAATATGAAAGAAAATCATAGTACATACAATCAGAACCCAAAGGAATAGAAAATTCCAATTAAATCTTTGATTATTTGCTATTTAAGACCAGAGAGATCTAAATTTTCCGGCCCTGCCAAGCCAGTATGGTTATTGGGTTTTGTTAGAATTTCAATTTTTAGCAAACCAATATGAAAGAAAATCATAACACTTGCACTTGATGTTCTTGTATTCTCTTCAATTTTTTGTTGCTTCTTTCTCGTTTTTCTCATGGTCAATTTCACTGGACATTTCTCTCAAAACTATATTTTAGTTAACTTTTTATTTTTTATTTTATTTTTTTTGGAAGATAATATTGATCTGGCGCTAGTCTTCTGGGAGTTAGGATTTCCCTTCGCTTTTGTTCTAATTTGTATGGAAACTATGTATAGGTGCGGTAGCTGCAACAGTAACCCCTATTCAAAATGAAACTCCTTTGAAGAAATTGAAAGATGAGTTTGTGTCAGTTAAATCTCCAGATGAACTTAAAGATGCTGCTGGTTTTGATTTCAATAAAGATAATTCCTCAGTCAGTATTACCGTGGTTGGAGCGTCAGGTGACCTTGCCAAGAAAAAGATATTTCCTGCGCTTTTTGCACTTTATTACGAGGGTTGCCTCCCTGAGGTTTGTAGTATTGATTGTAGTATGTCTATTTTATTTCTGTTTTTCTTTTCATTTTATTTGGAAGTTTAATTCTGTGTTGTGAGTTAGCTGTGTATTTGCCTTTATATTTTGGAGTGGAATTTTCATCTTGATATGGTGGATTTATTTGGTTGCAGCACTTCACTATCTATGGTTATGCCCGGAGTAAGATGACTGATGCTGAACTTAGAAACATGGTTAGCAGGACTCTGACTTGCAGGATTGATAAGAGGTTATCCCCGCTCTATCTCTTCTTCGATGCTAAATTGTTATACTGATCAGTAATTTCCTTGGAGCACGTTGCCGGCAATTTGGTTGCCTTCTCTGCTCAATTCTAGTTCTTAAAAAGTGGAATATAATTGCTTGCATTATTGTTGTTAATAATTGCTTGCAAGTTGAACAAATATCTTGAGTGCCAATGTATATGGTTTCATTTTGGGTTTTCAGGGAAAACTGTGATGAAAAAATGGATCAATTCCTGAAAAGATGTTTCTACCATTCTGGTCAATATGATTCTCAGGAACATTTTGCTGAGCTTGACAAGAAACTCAAGGCACATGAGGTAACATTGGTATTGATTAAGTATAATTAATCTCAGTGATCCTATCCTAAGTTTTCCAGAACACTTTTATTTGAAGCATAACTCAACAAAGCGTTCTCCCTTCTAACGCTTTAATTTAAAACTAGCTTATATTTTCTTGTTACCAAACATTTGTTTGCTAAAATTAGAGCAATTGCTGCTTGTTGATTAAGTGTAGTGCTGTTGTTAGTTTTGTTTTAATATGTGAAGCAGCATTAAGGAATCCTTAACTTACCATTGAACCAGATAAAGGTCTTGCTTGGTTGGTTGGGTTGATAAAAAAAATGTATTGAATTATTATAAATAAAAGTGAGAACTATTAAGGTTATGCACAATTAAGAGAAGTTGCTCTTATGTAAGGTTTCAGATGCATATAAAACATAGGTGCATATGCAATGCAGATGGTTAAATTGTGATGATGATACTATTCCTGATTGGATGAACATGATCGAGTAACATGACAATCTCTTTGTTTTGTATGTAAGAGAAAGATATACAAACCCTGGCAGACGATGATAATAAATTAGAAATATTATATTAAAATTTTTAGCTGGTATATATTGAATGGGATTGAGTCTAAATATGTATCCAAACAATAAAATAAACTGTTGATGAAGTTTTCTTAGTGTGGAACATAACAATTGCCAGTGGCTGTAAAGAACATCTGGTGCAATCCTGAACTGATCCAAAACGGAACAATTGAACTACCGCTGCAGGAATTGCCTCCACTTGTTGCATATTTGATAGCCACATTGTTCACAGGCATTCATACATTGTTCTTATCATAGAGGAAGCCATAAATATGCATAAATCCCTTACATTCAATGAGAGCATAAAAACTTTACTATGCAATTGCTTATTAATTAGATAATGATGCACTCGTGTGTTTCAAGAAAATTAAAAAACAAGTTAAACAACCCAAACACCATGCATTCATTTATTGTTTATTGTAATACAATGTTTTGTTTCTAGGGTATTTTCATTGTCCTGCTCTCTCTTTCAGAGGTTCAGATTTTGGATTGCCAATACTTGTTCCATTTTTTTTTGAGGCCAGATTCAGATTTTTGCTCTTTTTAATGGATTCCTAAATTGACCCCCCCTCCCTTTGGAAATTAAGTTTTTCTTTCATAACTTCCTCTTTCTCACACGAGAAATAGTTCTTCCTATAGCCCATAAGCGCCAATCTTCAGATAGAATTTAATGAATTTTTTTTTCCTACAGTCTGATTCCTTAATCTTATGCTTGGTTTTGACACAATGTGAGATAATTAAAAATATTTCACTAAACCTTACATCAACCAAAACAATTAGAACTGTAAATTCAAAATACCATTCCTTAAATTTTTGTATTGATGTTAAAAGTGTTAGTCTTGTCATAAGTTTTACTTAGAAAAGTGAATTCATTTCTATATTCAACCCAAAACTTTTTTCCTGGTACTATTTTTATTTATAGTTGGGCACCATCCCCTCCCTCTAAGACACTTGGACCACAAGCATGAATCCATTTCAGAAGCACGTAGGCAAAGCACAAATCAAAAGGCGAAAAGAAACATTATAGTAATACATTTTTGTTTTTTTGATAAGTAAACATTATAGTAATACATGATAAGGAAAGCCAAAAGAACAGCCCGTATGGCATATATAACAAAAGGGACATACTGCCCTACCTACAAAAATCACATACATGCAATAGAATGTATCCAACAAATAGAATACCCTTCAACCAAAAAGCAAAACCAACAGAATAATCCATTAACTAAATTTTGTGTCGTATATATTATCCCTTTTCTGAATTCTAATAGCTAATGTAAAAAAAATTCAGAAAACAAATAATTAAGTGCAATCCCAAGGCACGAGTGAACATATGCTGATATACCCATTTCAGATACTACACATGCCGTCGATTTCTGTAGTTATATTGGTGATTTGAAACAAAAATAAATGAGTCAATAAATAAATAAGAAGAACTATATTTGGCAGCTTTCCTATTCAAATATATACTTCTTGGTAACCTGTTCATTTTCTACAAGAGTCAAAATACAGTTCAGCAATTTGTGCGAAACATATATTTTATAAAGCATTTACATAATGGCAAAATAAGCTAATGTTAAATGTTTGCGATGAAAGATGGATATCTCATGAGTAAGGTTTTAGATGCCCCCACAAATTATATTGCCCAAAAGTTTTTATATAAATAATTTTATGTACAAATAAATCACTATAAATGAGGCCATTACCCAAATGGGGAAAAAAAATTAAAAGAATCTGTTCCAAGTAGCTTGTTGCAGGCAATGCAAACGGAGAAAACTTTACAGTAAAAAAACCATTCCAAGTAAAAGTTTCCCAAATAAAGAATGCAGCCAGTTTATGTCAAAGGGCAACATTACCATGGAAGCAATGAGAGGGAGAGATAGTGACCTGAGAATTGATTATAGTCTACAGAGAGAGAAAGACGGATGGATTAATGGGTTTGATAGATTTCCATTATAATGTGGGTTTAGTTAAAAGCAGGGCATAATTGAAAAGATTAGAAATGGTGGAGAAGATTGTGATTGTGAATCGTGGGATAGGGCGTACAGAGGATCAGGAAGGTGAGTAGTTGAAGAAGAATGGAAGGAACTCACTCATTCTGTTCTTAGCCAGAGAATGAGGGAGTGAAGGGCGTTAATTGGGTTGTGGACTTTGAGAATTATATTCATATTTAAAAAGGTCTGTTTAAAAAAAAAAAAAAATAGTAGTATAGATTAACATCTTAGGTTGGTTTATTTCTTCTATATTAAGTTCATGTGTCTAACATGTCCTAATATATGTCACAAGCCACTCAAGACTTGAAATGTATCAATAATGTTCGTGTATAGAACACATAGTGTTATTATTTCCTAGTTTGTAACTCTTTGGGAAATTAGGCATCTCATTTGGTTCTTCTAGATTGGTCTAGGTATTACATTTACCAAAATATTAAACAGGAAAAAGAAACTGCTATAATTTCTCATGACCTTGGACTTTATTGAAGAAGGTTAAATATAATTATACAAGACTCGTTCTCATTTGATGGAACAGTAAGTGTTTTCTTTTATTCTGAATTCCCTCTTTTGGATTTTGTTTAAATTGTTTTGCATGGAAGCCTATTCAATATGACATTTAACTTGCAAATATATTTATCTCCATCTGGTTTGACGAGAATAAACTGCTCTGCAGGGTGGGAGGGTCTCTAATCGCCTTTTCTATTTATCAATCCCACCAAACATATTCATAGATGCTGTAAGATGTGCAAGTCTCTCTTCTTCATCCGGTAATGGCTGGACCAGGGTCATTGTGGAGAAACCTTTTGGTCGAGATTCTGAATCATCTGCTGCTTTGACAAGATCTCTCAAGCAGTACTTAGATGAGGATCAAATATTCAGGTGAGTTCTCTTACTGGTGTCAGATTTTATTAGGAAGGCTATAATCTGACGAAAGGAATATTTTTTTTCTCTACAGGATAGACCACTATTTGGGGAAGGAGCTAGTGGAGAATCTGTCTGTCCTTCGCTTCTCCAACCTCATATTTGAACCTCTGTGGTCGAGGCAGTATATAAGGAATGTACAGCTGATATTCTCTGAAGATTTTGGCACTGAAGGTCGCGGAGGGTATGTCCGCCTCAAAAATGCATTTGATTTAGTCCCAGACTGTTCTAAAAGCTTATTCTTTTTAGTTCTATGGTTATTCCAGATACTTTGACCATTACGGGATAATTAGAGACATAATGCAAAACCATCTGCTCCAAATACTTGCCCTTTTTGCCATGGAAACCCCTGTCAGTTTGGATGCAGAAGATATCAGAAATGAAAAGGTTGTTTGTCCTTTTTTTCCTTCTCCTCTCTCTAAAGCCAGAGAACAATGCATCATATAATGACAGTGTTGGTAATATATTCATGTTTGTAACTAAATTTATTATTGGGTGCCAGGTCAAAGTTTTACGTTCAATGAGGCCTATACAACTTGATGATGTGGTCATAGGACAATATAAGAGCCATACAAAAGGAGGTGTTACTTACCCAGCTTATACTGATGACAAGACTGTACCCAGAAACAGCTTGACTCCAACATTTGCTGCAGCTGCCCTTTTTATAGATAATGCAAGATGGGATGGAGTTCCTTTTCTGATGAAAGCTGGGAAAGCATTACATAATAAGAGGTTTGTGAAACTAAGAAAGAGATCCAAGATTGTACTTTTTCCATCTTGAGTGGAACCTTTTGACATTTACAGTTTTTTTATTAACTTTTTCCCCCCCTTCTCAGGGCTGAGATAAGGGTACAGTTTAGGCACGTGCCAGGGAATTTGTATAACCGGAATATTGGGACTGATCTTGACCGTGCAACGAATGAGCTTGTTATCCGTGTGCAGCCTGATGAAGCTATTTACTTGAAGATCAATAACAAGGTTCCTGGTTTAGGAATGAGATTAGATCGCAGCAACCTAAATCTTCACTATGCAGCAAGGTATCATGTCATATTATTGCTAGATTTTGATGAGAAAAAAAGAATTATATTGCTTCATATTATACCTCATTTAATCAGAGTACTAACAGCAGTAATCTTGATTTTCACATGCTGGATGGTATTATTAACAATGCTGATGAGTAAATTCAAATTTTAGCCTCATTTTATTATTAAATAATACAGTTGCCAAATTGCATCCAATTTTTTATTTTAGCTTTGTGCATTGTATTGTTTCTTGTGCCATAAGGCATTTTCTAAAATAAATTGAGAAGAAAAGTAAATGCAAAGATTCTCTTGTATGTGGAAATGAAATATTTAAACAAACAATATTTATATCCATGACAAACTAAGAAGCAACTATCATTCCGTCATATATTACATTTAAGTTTTGGGTAATCATATGTGTTTAAGTTATGATAATTGAATGATTATTGGTATTAAAATATCCTTTGAAGATTCATATCATAATCTTTCAGCTGCACAAGGGGGGAATAACTTAAAATATGAAATGTCAAAGATAGTCAATAGTGTATGCATTGTATATATGGTAAATTATGATAATGCGTACCATATGTTACATCCTAATGAATTGCAACACCAAATGATGAATACAGCTGTTTGGTTTACTGTTGATCTAGGAAGCACGGACGCGGGACACCGACACGCGTCGGATACGTGTCCGAATATTTTATATTTTTTCACATATCTGGATACGCCGTGGATACGCTTCCAACATGCAATGGATATGTATCCGACACGCGTGTCCCACTCTTTGGGGATTTTTATGAAAGTTTTAGAAACAATGTTGAGTTGAAGTGTAAATATTAGGAGTTGTTTAATTACATAATTACTTAAAAACTTGTCGTTTCATAAAAGAATTTTATATTCAAACAATTAGATATTTATTATTATATTTTAGTTCAAAGGTTCGACCCCTTGCATGATCATCTTTGACTCTCTCGTTGTCCCACCAACCAAGCTTCGCTACCAGTGAATGGTCTCTCTCTCCTCTTTTCTCTCTTATTCTTCGTCCTCCTCTTTTCTTTCTTCTTCTTGTTCTTCACAAACCCTAAATACTTCCTTTTTTTCCTTTCACAATAAATTTCTTATTGTCTCTCTTTCCTTTTTCCTCTTTTCCTCACGAACTTTTTTCCCTTCTATGGATTCTTACCTTTATTTTTAACTACAGCCTAATTCTTTTTCTAACAAAACCCTAATCCTCTTTGTCTCTTTGTATATATATATTTTTTCTCTTTCTTAACTCTTTCTATCATTCTTTCTTTTCTTTTTCTTTTTTTTTTCCCAGCAAAACACAAATTTATTTATTTATTTATTTATTATTATTATTATTTTTTCATTATGAGATTGTTAAATATAATTTTACTCTTAATTTCTTAAAATACAACATCATATATATAGAAAATAGGGTTAATTACAATGACATCCTCTGAGATTTGTCATAATTACAGCCATATAGAAGTTGGACTTTTTTTGAACGACGACACCCCCTGTCAGAAATTGGATCCAAACAAGCTCTTAGAAGGTGTGAAAAGTCAAGATTGCCCTTCAATATTTTATTAATTTAAATTAAAAATTAATCAAAACTCCTAAATGATGTTTTTGACCTTGGCATGTCTATCATACGTCACCACTCTCTCTAACCTATCACCTTCTCCATCAGAAACCCTAGATACCACCAGGTCTGGCCACCACACTTCCACAACAGAAAAATAGAGCAACTAGCAACCACACCTTTCAAAACCTAACGCTAACAAGCCCACCACTACCACACACAAAAAAAAAAAAAAAAAAAAAAAAAAAAGAAAAAGAAAAAGAAAAAGAAAAAGAAGAAGATTGACTAGAGATTATAGGTTTTGTACACCTGATAAGGGCTGCAACTTGGGCGGGCTAATCCAGCCCAACCCAGAAATTTTGAAATTGGGGCTTATATTCACAAATCGGGTTCATGTTCGGGTTGGGTTTTGTCAAAACCCAGACATATTCGGGTTGGGCTCAAGCTCGGGCTCGGGCTCTCTCTCCTCTCTCTTCTTTCTCTTTCTCTCTCTGCCGATTTTTTTTTTTTTTTTCTCCTTTCTCTCTCCTCTCTCTTCTTTCTCTCTCTCTCTGCCGCCGTCCATGCACTTCTCTGCAATTCTAAAACGAACGGCGAAGCTTGAGAGTTGAGAGGGGGGCATGCTTGAGAGTTGAGAGACAGCGGAAGAAGCTTGCGAACGGCGAACCCGAACTGGAAGAAATGGGTTTTGATTTTTATTTGAATCTTTAAAAACAAAAGAGTTGGACAATCAACAAAGTAATAGGTTTTGATTTTGATTTTTTGAACAATCTGAAATGATAAGATTTTACTTTGAGCCAGAGTGTACCCAAAAAAAGAAATGGGTTTTGATTTTTTGAACAATCTGAAATGACATGCCGATATGGGTTTTGATATAGGTAATAGGTTTTGAACTTTTGATTCTTGCAGACAGATAGATAAACTGAAATATATGGGTTTTGAACTTCTGATTCTTGTTGATTTTGTAGTTTGCAATTGCACACACACAGAGGGTGCAATTTTAGAGTTGAGAACGAGAATAGAGATGAAGGCGATAGGGGATGCTGAAATGATTTGCCCTAAAAATATATATATTTTTAATAATAATATAATCAAATATATATAATATACATGTATATATATATATATATAATATAATATATATAAATTTCTGAAAAAATAAAAATAAAAATAAAAAAATAAAAAATAAAAAAAAAACTTAACCCGTCAACCTGACTCAACCTGCCCGAAAATATTCGGTTCGGGTTATGACCACAACCTATGTTGGGTACAATTCGGGTTGGCCCAACCCAACCCGATTCGAGTTAAGGTTGGGTTGGGGCTAGGCTGGGTTGAGCCAGCACAACTTGCAGTCCTACCTGATACAAGATCTCCTATGATCTTTTACCATCTTCTATCACAAATGTGGATTATCTTTCGAAGGAAAAACAACTCATAATGGAGCTTCAAAATGACTTGTATTTAGCAAATTGGTAAACCTGTAGCCATAGCCGTTGAACGGCGTCTGGGAATTGGGGGTTTGACTTTGTGTTTAGAATTTCAGAATTGTTGTTTGTCACGTACATTCCCTTAAGAGATTGTACAAACCCAACCCATGCTCCCTCCATCAAACCCACCCCCAAATCCCTAGACCTCTCCACCCTTAAATCCCAACACCACCGTTGTTGCCACCACCAAAAAATCCATCGTCGTTGAACCCTCGGATCCCGCTGCCGCCACCACCAAAAAACCCATCGTCGTTGAACCCTCGGATCTAGCTACTGCCACTACCAAAAATCTCCATCGTTGAACCCTCAGATCTGGCCGCTGAATCATGTGGGGAATTTGGATGCATCAAATTGGGCGCCGTCGTTGCCGAAGAGGGAGACGAGGCCCATCCCTACGATGACCAGATTCTTCTTAATTTGGATCATTCTCGTGCTTTGGGTGAAGGTTGTGGTGGTGTCGACGCCACCTCTGCCTCCGCCGCAGCCACCGTTGAAGTCTAGGACCTTAGATATATATATTCTAACCTTGTATAAAAAAATAAAATTAAAAAAAAAAAAACCAAACCCAAAAATTTCCCTTCTCCTCAATACCGTCCATTACCACCACCTCTATCATCTAAACTAATCTCTGTTGCAGTGAATGTCTCACACCATCACCACCACTTCACTATTCAAAACCCAAATCTTCAACACACTCGTGTGTGTGTGTGTGTATATATATATATATATATATACACACACACACACACACGAGTGTGTTGAAGATTTGGGTTTTGAATACACTCGTGTGTGTGTGTGTATACACACACACACACGAGTGTGTTGAAGATTTGGGTTTTGAATACACTCGTGTGTGTGTGTGTGTGTGTGTATATATATATATATATATATATACACACACACACACACACACACACACGAGTGTGTTGAAGATTTGGGTTTTGAATAGTGAAGTGGTGGTGATGGTGTGAGACATTCACTGCAACAGAGATTAGTTTAGATGATAGAGGTGGTGGTAATGGACGGTATTGAGGAGAAGGGAAATTTTTGGGTTTGGTTTTTTTTTTTTCAATTTTATTTTTTTATACAAGGTTAGAAGGGTAATTTTATTATTTAAATTGATTAATTGATAATTCAAAAGGACAACAATGTAAATTCCTTAAGTGTTAGAGGTAGCAGGTGATAGTTGGGGTGCCTTTGTTAACTTTATTAAATTTGAGGGGGTATCATTGTTAAAAAAAGCCCAACTTATATATGGTTGTTGTTATGACAAACCTAAGGGGGTATCATTGTAATTAACCCTAGAAAATATATTTTCTTATTTGCCGTGTCCCTGCAGTGTCCTAATTTTTAGGATTTGTCGTGTCGCCGTATCCGTGTCCCGTATCCGTTTCTGTGCTTCTTAGTTGTTGATGCTATAGATTGTTCTGATGCACTGCTTTAAGTGTGTAAAAACTTCAAAGAGGTTTCAAATTTTTTGGGAATATTAATTGCTATTTTGCTTCTAATCAAAGTTCATCTTATGCGTTGGGGTCTTTTAACATACCATATTTGTATAGGAGGGCAGAATTTCGAGTTTGCTTAATACCAAAAGCATGTTAATATTTAAACTTTCATGACATGGGGCTATTATTATACAAGTAAGCATGGCATAAACTCCATTTGAAAATGTTATTGAAACATCAATGAATGTTTTCATTGTTTTAATGTTTTCTTCTGTTTGTTCATTTTTAGATATTCCAAGGAGATTCCTGATGCATATGAGAGACTTCTTCTGGATGCTATTGAAGGGGAAAGGAGACTATTCATCCGAAGTGACGAGCTAGATGCTGCATGGTCGCTTTTCACCCCTGTATTGAAAGAGTTGGAAGAGAAGAAAATTATTCCCGAGTACTATCCTTATGGGAGTCGAGGTCCTGTTGGGGCTCATTATCTTGCAGCCAGATACAAAGTCCGGTGGGGTGATCTCGGTGCAGAGCAGTAACTTTGAGGATGCTTTTTCATCACTTTTGGAGTTGCAGAATGGTTCCTGGATTTTGATTTTGTTTATTGGGCGTCCCATGGTATAATGATGATGGTTTTCAGATGAAGAGATGGATCAAATAGATCTTGATGTTACAATCCCTGGGAAATCGGATGCTGGATAGTATTGGCGTAAACAATCAGAATCCAGAAAGGGAAAGTGGGGCAACCTCTCTTTTTTCTGTGAGTTATAATTTGTTTCTTCTTCTTCTTCTTCCTCCTCCTCTTCCTCCTCTCTTCAGTCAACCCTTTTTATCTAATAGTTGATAAACGGTAGATATGGCTGTCTTAGAGAACGTTTCTTCTGGCTAAATGTAGCTTTTCCCCAAATTTTCAGAAATGATATGAGAATGTATACACAGCTCTATCTTATGAAGTGATAGGCACTTGGCTATGTCATAAATACATGAAGTTGCTAGAGGCTGAAACTTGAAAAAACTGAAAAGATACACAATTACTCATTGATAGGGAAAAAGGTGTGACCAAGTATACTTGACCATATGAAATGTAGACAAACTATAAGTCTGAAATTAAAGGTGGAAATTAGTCTTTTACGCAATATATTTTATGTATTGTCCTAGGAGGTAACTTGGAGGTGATCAATGTTTCATTCAGTTTCATAAAATGAAACTTTTGATGCCAATGTGCTTTGCATTATGGCAGCTAAAGGCATGTGGAAAAGTTTGGTGGAGCTATCAATTTTTTCCTTTGTTGGTAACCTGTGATTAGGCTGCATATTTCTCTTTGCATGACTGAACCCAAAACTCAGTCTGAAATTATGAAGATGAGCTCATGGAATGGCTTTTGTGGAGCAAGTAATAACATAAGAACTTATCAACTGTAAAAAAAATCACTGCATTGGTTGACCAAACTAGTCTAACTCAATTCGTTCAAAGGACTAATGGATCGGAGCGATTCAGAAGTGTTTTTTTCTTTGTTTTTGTTTCTTGTTTTGTTTTTTTGGAAGGTTAAGCATACACACGCACCCATGCCTTCCTTGAGGCTTGAACACCCGACCTCCCTTTTTAGGAGGACGGTTTGTACCAGTTGGGTTATTGCCGAATTGGTTGATTCAAAAATTCATAACAAACGGTGATCATGTCTTTACTTTTTGACTTCTTTGAGTTGCTGAGACATTAAGGGCTAGTTTGGTGCCGTGGAATAAAATAAAAGAAAGTGGAATGGAATAGTTTTTTTTTTTCATTCTTGTGTTTGTGTTTGGTGCGCAATTTTAAAGTTGGAATTATCATTTCCTACCATTCTTGGAAAATGGTCATTTTATCAAAATCATTCCACTTTCGAACAAAAGGAATGATCATTCCATTCTCATTTTAAAAAAATACGAACTAAAAAAAAATATTAAAAAATAAAGGCTAAAGTAGTGTCCTTAACAAACCACAAATCCACAACAATCTTGTAAACATATCGGCGACGAGCAATGAAGAAGCAAATCTGGCCTCGACAAGCGAGGACGAACGTACCAGCAACCAAGGAACGACGACGACGATTTGAGCTTGGTGACTGTATTGGCGGAATGAACCGGCGGGCAACTCAACGGGCAAGACTCTGCTCGTTGGGCAGTGACGGAGGTGCTAGCGAGCAAGGTTGTGCTCGGTGCTCTAATCCAGTGATGAAGTGGATTGAAATGGTGGCGACGATGAATGATCTGAACAAACGAGACCGACCGGCGGTGAGCAAGAAGCGGGTCGAAACTGAAATGGTAGTGGCAAACTACTGCAATGAAGGACGGGTTTGCTGAACTAAACCAACGGCGACAGTGAGCAAGGACGTCGGTGATGCATGATCTGAACAACGAGACTGACCTGCGGTGAGGCCGGCGCTGAACCGATAAGGATGAATCGACAATGAAGAAGATAAACCGGTGATTTTTTGTTCTGAGTTTCAGAAGATTGGGAATAGAGAAGAAGAGAAATATATATATGCATGCATATATAAATATATTATGTATTTGGTTGAATAGTTTTCCTTTTTAACCTATTTACAACTAAACAAGGTAATGGGAATGATCATTCCATTCTTTGGTTCATTCCATTCTAACCTTTCATTCCTCTACACCAAATTAGCCCTAATTGGTTCACTCATTTACATTAACAGTTATAATTATGTGTTTCATTGCATCAAAGATGGCACAGGGAAAACATTTATTCAAGGAAGGATAGCCAAATAAACACATCTCTAGATGTATAGACAAGTGTGGTTCAAGTATGCAAGTAATGTCATGTTTGGGAGCATCACATTGATGGTTTGGATTTGGGATTTGAAAAAGTTCAGTTAATTTTTTAACTAAATTTTTTTTCGATCCCAAATTCAAGAAACCATTTCTAGGTGATCAAACCAGCATTTTTAAAGGAAACTATAAGAATTACAGCGCACAGAGGGCATACCCTCATAAGTGAGAACAAAACATATCAGAAATCACAAAAATAAGCTGAGTGAGCCCATTTCCAATACAAAACCAACAACTGAAACAAAAAAGCTACTGAAGTATATCATGAAGAGAAGCTTGCTGGACATCTAAAACTTCAAGGAAGATTTGTCTAGCCACAGTTTGAGGGGATTGAGGAGCATTCCCATGTAGTCTAGCATTTATCTCTCTCCATAGACCCTACAAAGAAGTAGCAAATAAACTTTTTAGTAATTTAGTATCATGATAGTGATGTTCAAACCATAGGAACAGATTCCATACAGTGTTGATTTAAGCTAACATTTTAGTAAATTTTTTTTTTTTTTTTTTTTTTTTTTCATTATGAGATTTTGATTTTCATATTAAATTAAAAATTTATGAATCCTTCGTATGTCAATTGTTAGTTTACATGTAAAATTGGACAACGTGTCACTATAAAAATCGTCACACGTCTTAAGTAAAATCCTTTGACTCTGTTACTAAATGCAAAATTACTGTGAATTACATACGACTTGATGTCATTGTCAAAGGTTGTTTGTGAAGTCAAATATTTTAATTAGATTATCATTAAACATAAGAGAGATTCATAATTGGCAAAATAAAGAAGGTATATAGGAATATCTGCATTTGTTGTTGGGTTGATTTAATTGGATTTTATTCATTACAGTATTAATAACCATAAGTTCAATGTTGGATTCCAAAAATGACACTAATTGGAAATGTTTGCTTTTAAAGCTATCGTCTATGGACCACAACAAATGATGAGAATAGGTCCGATTATATATATATATATATCAAGAGTTTTATGTCCCATCTTGATAATTTTGCTACAGATGTGAATGCAATTAGCTTAAAATCAACCAGAAGTCCGACCATGCTATATGACTTTTACTACAAATTTAAATCAACCTAAAAAAAAAAAAAAACTCCGCTAAAGCTTGAGTTGATTGAATCATTTTATTTATATCTTAATAATAATATTAATGTAGGTGTTGATGCAAGATTGTCACAATCGAGAACGATGTCGTACTTGAAAAAAGGAAAGAGAAAAAGTGATCAAGAAGGCACCGATTTCTCGATCACCCTTTTGCTTTCTTTTATCAGATGTGATGTTGTTCTGAGTTGCCGCGAAATCTTGCATCTCAATTACCCCACGTATTTTTCCAACACAATCCAAATTGAAGTCGCATTAAAAAAATTCAATTAAAACCAAATTTAGGTAGAAAAAAAGAGTTTTTCTAAACCCTTAAAATATCATATAGGGCTCCTCGTGTTGAGTTTGGATTAGCTTCTCTAAATTGCATCTCTAGGTACAAAGTTAATTGTCACATTCCCAAATCGCTATTTGTATTGCATATATTTTTCATGAAGTGATTCTTTTATTATATTTTATATTTTTTTTAATTAATTTTTTTGTATCATGTAAATATCAATAAGCATCTCATTTTTACTAAATACTCGACCTAAAAATCTTGTGAACCGTGTATAAATTCTCGATCAATTGATGACATAAGTTATCACACGTGACTTTATCAAAAAAGAGCACGCGTTTTCGGTCATTATATGGATGTACTCGAATATTTTCAAAAGAAAATTGCATTTGATTGAAACTTGATTATGATTTTTCATTCTAATTGGAAAACGAAATGCCAAAATGTCAAAAATGGAGTGAAAGAAGCTAAAACAAATTAACATTGATTGGTCTTTATTGCTTTTAGACAAATTGTCTTGGTGACCTACTAAAGCAAAAGATTTTATTGAAACAATCTTTGAATTCAAGTGATTTTGGGGGCGATTTGTCAACATCTAGCTTTTTTAAATGTCCCCCATTATGCCTCCAAGGTGGGCGGCATATATAACAAGCAACAAAGCACATCACCACCCATACCTACCCATTATTTGCAAATACAAAGGGAAAAAATATATTAGATGAAAAATTGTCCGGGCCCAAAAAAATTGAACTCTAATACTTCAAGAAATATTAAGTTTTAAAATTAATTTTTTCTAAGTGCAAACAATTCTTTAAAGGCCATGCTAATGGACATAATCTGAACTTTGTCCGATCTGTGTGAGGACACGCCTTGCACACAACACCAGTGAACCTGTCGAAGCAAAGCCCCAAAAAATCGAGTATTATTCTTTGACAGTTTTTCTGCTTGTTTCAGTGTTTGTGTGTATATAGATAAGTTGAGTTTTATTAATTCAAAAAAACAGAGATAAAGATTTAAATAAAAAAACACTCTTTAAAATTTTTCAGTGCTAAATCACATCTCACATACCAATGCACACATCTCACGTACCAATGCACCATTAGCACGGTGGTATAACTTCTTTATCCTCCTAGAAGAGGGGAGAGGTTAATGTCAACAGGTGGACCGAGTGTGTGATTTACCTGGTAAAAAAAAAAAAAAAAAAAAAGCACCTTACTCAAAACACACTTACATGGGGCTATAATTTTGATAATATTTTAGTAATGGCATCGCTGAATTTTTGGTAAAACCACCTTTTAATGATAAATTGATAATTTTATTTATTTATTTTTATCTTATTGTTGCTTAAGATAACCTTCGGCAAATAATTTTTAGCTCCGTCTCCTAATACCAAAGGTCCAAAATAATACAACAATTAATGATTGTTCTCTAGAAACAACCTTTTTTTCAACTTAATTTTTAGAAAATTGTCAACCAAATAAATTTTTGTATTACTTTTAGCTTGTAGTTTTTTGAAAATAAAACTTATTGAAAAGAGTAATGCTACTAAGAGGTCAAAAAATTTCTCATTAAAATTCATTTTCAATAAATCACAGGACTTATCAAAGTTTTATATTATCTTTCTTTAGACTTCATTTGGCCAAATTAAACTATCATACAACTTTATTTTATTGTGTTTTGAGTGGATTTTTTATTTATTTTTTTGGCTATGTGGTGATATAACTTATGCACTAAATTAAATCGCTAAAAGGAAGGTTGAGGGCGACACGTTTGCATGAATATTCTAGGTTACCTATTGAAAAAGGAAAAAGAAAATAAAAACATTTTTTCTTCTTTTCTTTTTAACTCTCCTTTCCAAACACCATGGGTGATTACTTCTATCCTTTTCTTTTCCTTTTGTTTTTTTACCCCTAATTATCCAAACAAGATTTAGAGGTAATACTATCATTCCCTTACCCTTTTTCCATTAACTAACTTTATTCTCTCTCTCTTTTCCTTCCCACCTCTTCATTCTCTCTTTTCCTTCCTCTCCTACTTATCCAAACGCGTCAATATGAAAACACACATACTCTTGAAAACACACACTTGTGTATCACACCTTAAGTTTTTGCGCACGTAAGGATGAAATGATTTGAGCATGCAAGCTTGAGTGACTTTCGGTATAAGGAAAATAAAATATCTGAGACCCAAGACCACTAACAAAAAGTTGCATTATGTGAGAAACCATAGAAATCACATTATTAAGTCAAGTAGGCATTAATAAAGTTTAGTTTTGCAGAATCAAATCTTACCCCATAGTTTTAGTAATAAAGCATGTTTCACTAATTTGTATTGTAATTGGCCACATAATGGTAAGTAATATTTTTAATTTCCACTTTTTAGGCTCAAGGATGCCATTCAATCGCATAAAACAAGAGCGGAAGCAGGAGCGAGAGAGTTTGAAAAAGACAACATTTAAGTCATACAGAGTAGGAATGGGAGTCAAAGTGCGCTTGGAGCGTGAGAGTAGGAGCCTACTCAGAACGTAATAACGACACCCGTTAAGAAAGATTATATAACTTAAGGCGTTACTTCCCACTTCATGTTTCATGCAAGCGCTGTTGTAAAATGCACTAAATGCCCTTTTCACAATCTGGATTACAAGCATCTAAAAGTATAATTAATTGATAATATGGCTAAAAGTATAATTAATTGATAATATGGCTATCTTAGGAGCAATGCAAAGTGAAAACTCAAGTGAATTGAACTCTTTCTGAAAACTGTAATGACTCCTTTGATCAATGGTCGTTATTTTAGATGGTATGATGTCTCATTTTTATAGGGAAAGTTGAGTGTTCGAACCCTACTATGAGCAATATTGTGGTATGCGCGTGTTCGCTTTAACTGAGGAATAAAAAAAGGAAACAAAGAAGGTTGACTCCTTCATATCTCCCAATTCAACTGCAATGACTCCCTCCCAAGTCCCAAGTTTCTTTAGACATGGTTGTTATTGTGTGTGTTTGTGTTTGTGTTATTGTTGTTGTAGTTGTTTTGCGCGCGTGTGTGATTCATACCACTAAATTTTGGTAGGATTGTCCTTCAAAACTAAACTAACAATTCTGACCAAGAAAGTACTAGAGAAATTTAGTAGATAAGTCATTCACTTAATATATGTAATTATGTACCTACTTTTTAGTTTATGGCTACACTAAGGCTAAATCAAACAGATAAACATTAGTTTATGGTTACTATCTAGGGTCATATTTAATTAAAGGTGGCAAGATTCACACCTATAATGCCCCCGGGGTGTAGCGGAGTTGGGAGCCAGGACGGGCTCCCAAGTGCTGGCCTACCATATCAAGTGTTTGGACCAGGGTTCGAATCCTAGCGCCTCTCTGCAAGTCTCTCGACTTAATGCTGAGGCACCGGTGCGCGTGGCTGGTGGATTAGCAGAGACAAAGCCCCGGATACCACTACTGTTTGGAGGGGAAAAAAAAAAAGAAAAGAAGATTCACACTTATAATCCTCCATTTCAGGGTTAGTACATAAATTAAAAACCTTGCTATATTGTATGGATTGGAATAAGCTCAAACCAAGACACTATTTTTCTATTCTTTTCACTTCCAATTGTGACAATTAATTTTTTGAAAGCGTCTTTCAATTGTGAGTTCGTTATTTTGTCCAAATCTATCAATCCAACGGCTGCAAGGGGGAGCTGATGGTGAGAGCGCCCTCTTGGTAACTTTTTACCCATTTCAAGACACCAACTTTTGTTTGTTATTCAAAATTTGAACAAGAAGCTAATATATCTTGACAAATACAGTGAAAGGTCATGAAAGTCTTGGCCTTTTTCATGTCCCTTTCATCAATCAAAGAGGCCCCATTATTTTTCCTCTGTTCTCATGGAATCCAAGGACCCAAAGCTTCAGTTGCAAGAGGTGCACAGCTTCTTGACCCGTCTCCCAACCCCGGACATGGCAGACAACAGGCCTGCAGCAGAGATCAAAGACCTCCAAATTGTGGCGGCAAACAAAGACGATAGCAAGAAGCAGTTGGCGCCAAAGAGAGTCTCCAACAAGGACCGGCACAAAAAGGTGGATGGTCGAGGTAGAAGAATACGAATGCCAGCTCTGTGCGCAGCCAGAATCTTTCAGTTGACAAGAGAATTAGGTCACAAATCCGACGGAGAGACAATCCAGTGGCTGTTGCAGCAAGCCGAGCCATCCATCATTGCTGCAACTGGATCGGGGACTATCCCGGCCTCAGCTCTTGCAGCTGCAGGGGCCTCTGTTTCGGAACAGGGGAACTCTGTTTTGGCTGGTTTGCATTCCAAGTTGGATGAATTGGGACCAGGTATGGGGAGTAGGAGCAACTGGACTATGATGAGTGGCAATTTAGCTAAATCCCATATAGCAGCAACTGGGATGTGGCCCTCTTTGACTGGATTTGGATCAGGGTTTGTTCAAAATTCCGGCTTTTCAACATCCAATTCAGGGAACGAAAACTCGAATTTCTTGCCTAGGATTGGGTTCCATGGGTTAGAATTCCCAAACATGAGTCTGGGGTCAATGAATTTTTCCACAATTTTGAGTGGAACTAATCAGCAGCTTCCAGGTTTGGAGCTTGGACTTGCTCAGGAGGGTCATTCTGGGGTTTTCAACTCTCAAGCAATGAACCAGTTTTACCAGCAGATGAATCAGCAACAAGAAGAACATCCTGATGATGATGACTCCCAAGAATCAAAACATTAGAAGTAAAGAACTGAATTTGTTATACAGGATTGCCCTTTTTTGCTGCAAATTTCACCGAACTCTCCAAAAACAGGTATTACTACTGTTTTTCTATTTCATTCTACACACTTTTTACTCATATGAAAATTTGTTAATTATAAAATTTAATGCTATATTTCTGTGTTTTTTTTTTTTTTTTTTTTTTTTTTTTTTTTTTTTTTTTTCAGTTTTGACAATGAAGAGTGAAGTGCTTGAAGATTGATTGTGGTTTCTTTCTTTTTGAGGTGTGTTATTGATATATATATATATAGTAGTCCTCTTATAGGCAAATTAAATTGCTTTGCTTTTATTATATTTGAATGGAGGTATATAGTGTTCTGAAAATGAACTAAAAGTCTCAGAATTGTTGTTAGCATGATCTTTCTGATACAGATGTGGTAAGATACTTGTCTATTTGGTGCCCAGATGCTACTTTATATTGAACAGAATGTGTAGCATACATATTCAGATATTATTCATGTAGATTTGCAACTTGGCAGTACCGAATCGACGCTTTAAATTTGGTATTAGAAAAATTTTAGTGTAAATTTTGAATTAAAATTCATCCGATTCTAAATTGAAGGCACGATTCAGTGCTTCCAAACAAAACGCAAGTGTATTATTACTTTTAGTCTTGCAAGAGATTGTTAAATTAGTTGAACATTCCATTAGATTTCTTCTTTCTCCCACTTACTTTTTGAAAAAAAAAAAATCCACGAATCATTTTTTTAGCAAGACTTTTATACTTTTCGGGAAAGGAAAAAAGAATTAAAAAAAAAAAAAAAAAAAACACACTCTATATATATATATATATATATATATATTCAACCGATACTCGGAAAGCAATTTAAAAACTCCAAATTCTAGCAAAGCTCCAAACGGAAAATTAGCTAGAGTTTTTGGCTTTTCTAGATACCCTTCATTAGGTGATAATGCCTTATCGATAGATATTATAGTGCCTTCTACTACAATATCATGTATTGCCAATATTAATTAAATATGTTGATTTTCATTTTTCTCTCAACTGATGCTATCTCTAGTCAACATAAAAGATTATTAAACCAAATAGAGATAACAATAATAGCAACAATGACAATAAAACTACACTTGATAGAATTTATGGTGTCATTTCTGTTAAGAAAAAGTATATACAAATTGCATCAACTCTTGTTATAGCGACAACTATTGTGCCTCTTGGTTGCATAAATTAGTTTTTCATAACTAACATCTAGTTTCTCAGAATTGACAGTAAGTGGCACTAGAATGACACGTGTTTATTTAAATTTTTTAATTTTTTATTTATTGTATTTTAAATTAAAATAAATCATGTCATATTATTATTGTGTCACATCAATTTCATCCTCACCTTTGAAGAGGTAAACATTGTTCATATTATTTTATTCATATTTCATGTCTTGTGTGTTTCTCTGTATATATTGGGTTTGGCCATGTTCACTTAGCCTTCTTGAGGTTCAAGAATCTGTATTGGGTTGGGCCTTGTTCACTCGACCTCTCATGAGCTTTATTATTACTGGACCGGGCCAGCACCGAACTGAGAGTCCACGCATCTTTTTCGGGTTGTGCCACATGCCTCTTCTATATTTGTTCAATAGACTTTCCACCACAATATGCACCGAGTAAAATTGAAAACTTATTTCTACACCTCCTAGTTGATACACGAGAAATTATTAAATAGTCTTGATCTATTTGATATTTGGTGGATTAATTTTATTCTTATTGAGATTTGTTTATTATATATTAGTACATTCTTATAGGATCGTTTTCTTAATAAGCGACTATATTGAATTGATCCACCAAATATCAATAATGCAGCACTATTTAATAATTTTTCGACCATACACACAAAAGAATGAGAAGTCCACTACAGCAGCACTTGTCCAGACATTTTTTTATGCATCGGCTCGGGTCAACGTTTGCCCTAGTTAATAGCACAGCTCAAATTTTCATATGTAATTTTAGAGGGAAAATAAAAAATTAAGAAGAAGATATTTCCATCCATGTGCACAATTAAACAGGACTGGCATGGTGGTATGGAAAGATATTTTTGTTGAAAGTTTACAGGTCAGAGTGACATATAAAAATATATATATATATATGTATGATGGTTTACATTTCACATCAACCACAATCAACTCTTCAAAAATCACCGACCATAGCTTTTCAAATAATAGCTTCAAAACTTTATTTTGTGTGTGTGGTAAGGTTCATCATAAACTTGAATATACTTGAAACTCCCTCCTTTTCTTTTTTCTTTCTTTTTGGTGTTGGGTTGTATGTGTATTAATTGAATCATAAGCGTGAGTAACTTACAAAATTTCAACAGTTGATTATAAAAATTTTTTTGGTTAATTGTATTAACACCTCTAAGATATTGGTAAATACAACTCAGCTACTGATCAATATTTTTTGAACAATAACACCTTGAAGCTTTTAAAATATTGCATCCACACCCCTCCCAACCTACAAAAAGACTTAAATGCCCTTCAGCAAGTCAATAATTACTTTTTAATCTTGAAATGACTTAAAAGCCCTTTCTGACTCATTTTAATATAACTAATTGACCCATTATTTGGGCAATTACATTAACCTTTTTTATCTTTAATACTAATTTACGCCACCATAACAGAACCACCACAGCCACTGCACTAGAACCACCACCGCCACCCATACCACACCGAAACAATACCACCACCACAATAGAAAAAATAAAATAGAAACACCCAGATAACCCAGACACCACCATAACCACCACAACTACAACCAAACAACACTACCACCACCACCACCACAACAATAGTAGAAAAACAAAAAAAATTTGAAAACAACCAAGTAAACCTAGACACCACCACAACAGAAAATAAATATATAAATAAATAAACCCAACACCACCACACCACCATGTTTTCCCCCAAATTATGGGGACTTGCCCTAGCTGCCCCTTTAATTAGGTTTCCAGCCCAACCCATTTGAACTTGTCGAAGCAACAGTAAAGTAAAGGTACGAAAGAGCCGTGTTCGGGTATAACATTTCAATATTGGATCAGTTTCTCCGATGACACTTATGTGAAGAAGCCTCACACATCCACAGCAGATGTGCTCACCTGGTCAGGAAATTCCGCAGCCGATTCGCCAGCCATTGGCTCTGCTACTTTCTGGTGCTCACTCCATGGCCTGTTCAAACCATGTCATTTCATCTTTCGGCTAACTATGAACAAATTTTTGTCAATTTTAGGGGTGTCTATCCATGATCCGCGCAAGACGTTACCGATATCATTGGCGTCGCCGGGCTATGATCACGTCACCGTGAAATTAGGGCTTTTTAGCAACAAGAAGCGAGTGGTAATATTGGAGCAAAAGATAATGCCTTTGGGTTAATTTGGGTGATGCCAGTGTAATGATCGAAGTGGAAGTGAGAGAGGAAATAGGAGAGGGAGTGGTCGTCGGCATATCAGAAGCATGTATTGGGGATGAGTTACTAGAAAAGAAAGAAAAGATTAACAGTGGAGGGGGGGGGGGGGGGGAAATATGAGAGAGAGGAAGCCGGTGTGTGAACAAAAAGCAACCCAAAAAAAAAAAGTTAAGAGATTTGGATAAAGAGAGAGGACGAGTAGTTTTGACAATTAAAAGGGGTGATATTTTGTGAATTAATTAAATTAAATAATTAAGAAAAAATATGTCATTTGAAACATCAAGGGATGTCATTGTCTAAAAAATTGTTGATCCAACATTGACCAATACCTCAGGGGTATCAGTGCAATCTATGTTATGTATCTCAAATATTAACTAAAGAGAGATGTCAGTTTTATTTAAATTTTGTGTTTTGTTTTTGTGGCTTCAATTTTAGGAGGAGAAAAAAAAAAAAAAAAAAAAAAAAAAAAGAATAATTGATTTACATACTCTTTAGCAAAAAGAGTAATTCTAACAAGTGAGAATCAAAGAGTTAAAAATATCTTAACTGCACAACTTTTGAACTAGTTAATTACTACGTACTAAAAAAGAACTGATTAAAGGCTATAGTTTAGTAATATAATCTCACCTTTACAAGTACTTATGCTATGTTTGGTGTGCAGGAATAGAATATCTATTCCAATCATTCATTTTTTTGGTGTGCAAGAATGGAATTGAATGACCATTCCATTGGAATGAAAATCCATTTCATAACTAAACCGGCCATTCCATAGTAAGATTAAATATTTTTGTAATATTCCCAGTAAGTGTTTTATCACATTCTAATAAGGCAAACATCTTTCGCATAGACAAAAAAATCTTTCATATTCCATTGTTCGCGTTTCTCGAGCTTTTTTATTACACGTGGTAAAAGGTCTATCACCTTCTCTCTCTTCTGAATATACACAAGGCTGTCATTGACAAAAAGTTGCTGGACCTTTTTTGATATATTATTAAGATTGATATATCATTAAAAATATATTTTTATTATTTTTTATCCTTTACATAAGCTTCTTAGGTTAAGTATTCAACCCGTTTTTGAATAAAATTGTACTAACAAATTTATTTGTGTGTCTTCAATTATGATGAATTAGTTTAGTCGTAAAACTTGAATCTGTCCAAGATTTAAAGCCAATTCTAGAACACTATTGTGACCATGGGAATTCAGATATTTTTCCTTTTGCAGTCATTTATTAAGATTAATATCCCGTTTTTAAGGTTTTTCTTTATTTTTTTCAATGGCAGTATTCGGCATCTTATAACATTCTATAATTCATCGTCAGAATATTAATTAGATTGATTTTATTAAAAAGTAATGTAAGGCAATGAAAAGGGTATTTATGAGAAAAATCATTCCATTCCAGATTTAATGATAGTCAACCAAACAATAGAATGGTAATAATTATTCAATTCTATAATGATTCACCATGTCACACCAAACAATAGAATGAGAATAATGAGTATTCTCATTCCATTTTCATTCTCATTTCATTCCAAGTTGTATTCTATTCCATTCCTTCACATCAAACGTAGCCTTAGGATTCAATTCTCCACTTTCCATATGAACAAAAGTGTGTGGGTGTATTATTTGTCCCAATAATCAAAAGATAAATAGAAGTTGTAAAGAAGTATGCATCCTAGCATTCACACGCTCTCATTTCTTTTTACTTTAAGTTTGTATAGATGTAGGCTACCAAGCCGTATAAAAGAGAAAAATATGACTATTATACCGTCATAAATTTGTACAATTTTTTAACGTCCGTTTGGTTATATGAAAAATAACGTTTGAAAGTGGAACTAAAAGAAAATAAAGCGAAGGAAATGAAAATAGTTTTTTTAGGATTCATTTGGTTCGCAAGAACAGTGTGTGAAATTTTTTTTTCATAGTTTGGTTAGCATGAAAGTT